CTTTAAACTGTACTACCTCTTCATTAAATTGTCTGGTTTTCTCTGCCTGCTCCTCATCACCACGAGCAAGTTTTCGTCTCAGTTCATTGGCATCTAGACAGAAACACTCAAACAATTACACAAATTTTTCATAAGAATAAGAAAAAACATTCTACAGATTAAAAACACATTCAAAAAATTATACTGTCTGACCTATGGCTCTTTTTTTATTGATTTTTGAATGATGGATCTCTAAGCAAGGAAAGTCAAATTCAAATGAAACCTAAAAGGAGGTAACTTGCAATCTAAACCAGGTGTAGGGATGTAGAATCATGTAGCTATAAAAACGCTTAAGCAGGCTTTTAAATTAGTCAAGCCGGGTTTTTTACTCATTTTTTTTCTTTGCATTTTGGGCCAGTGGTAAGCTCTTTTTCAGCCAGTGAAATTAGCCAGCAGCCCGCTTTTGTGACATCCCTTAATTTTGATTTCAGTATGAAGATGAACATCTATTAATTTAGCTTGAAGCTTCTGCGTTATACTTTCCTATGGTACTGTTTACTTTGCTGTAAAAGATGATTCTAACAGTCTACATTTTTTATATTAAAAAAAAAATCCTTAAATGGACTCTGATAGAAGACCTTGTACTAGTATTTAGAAATGATAAAGCTGCTTGATTTCAAAATGTGGCCAAAGAAAGGCTGAAGTTCTTGCTTACATGTAAGTCAATGTTCACTTTAAAACAAATCCCAAAGCAATTCTCTTACCAGGGTAATCCTTGACATTTCCAGCATCCTGTAACTGTTGTATTTGCAGCCTGAGATCATGAATTTCTTTCTGGTAATCTGCAACTTCATCATTATTTCCTGCAACTTCTCCCATGTCTTCCACTTGCTCAATGCTCTAAAATGGTCCAGGAATATGTTTTTTTATTCATTACTTTTAATATTATACCTTATTATAGGAAATTAACGCTTCATGAAATTAATACAAATTTTAAAAAATCACAATTAATTCAAATTGCGTTAAATTTTATAAACATCATTTTTCGCGTCATTAATTAAGAGGAGCATTGCCCCAAATTCTCAATACACTTCTGACATTCTTGAGTGACATAAGGAAGAGGAGTATTCTATCAGGGTGAAGATCTGCCAGTAACAGTGAAACTGTGAAGAACCCTCAAAGTGGCCACATTTCTTTACTTGATCCCCTTTGTACATGTATGTTCATGGAAAGAAAACCATGAACAAATTTTTATTTTGGATCATCTATTTAACATTGTTCTTGTAGTCTCAACAAGTTTTGCTTCTTGGTGAACATCAAATTAATTTCCTTCATTTTGAAATGTTACCATCTCTTTTGGGTTAATTTTGTTTATTTGAAAGTCCATGTTAATTTGTGTTAATTTAAGTCACGTTAATTTCCAATACCTTAATTTCATGGAGTGTTAATTTCCTACAATAAGGGAACCCTTTACTTCCAAACCTGATCATGGAAACACAAAAAATCATAAATTTTGAGTCTGTGGATAAAAGCCTGTGACGTGGACATTTTATGAAATCGCTTTGGCAAAAGACAGAGACATTGCAAAAGATCCAGCTGTTTATCAACAGTTGTCTGAGACAGCACATTTTCAAGATGAGATGGCCAGAAAAGGTCAAAATGAGGAGCTTTGAGAGTCAAGCCCAGGAACCAATGGAAAAACAGATCCTTAGGCATTAGTGGGGGTAGACAGGGGATAATAAAACTGACATCAAGCATGACACCTGGAAGCCCCAGGGTAGAGGGAAGAGGGGGCCCGCCTAAGAACAGCTAGAGACAAGACAGTGAGGCAGAACTTAAAAGGCTGGGAGTCAGTTGGGCTGAGGCAGTAACAACAGCCAGGAAACAAGTTTGATAGAGGAGTGTTGTCCATGGCCCTAATACTCCACTAGGAACCATGGCCCTATGTAAGTGACTACAGCTGTACAGTGTAAGTTAGCTGGTCTTATGCAAAATATATCAGCTGTAGTCTTGTCTTCATTATTTGTATCTCATTCTTCAACTTAATGAAATTTTGGATTTTCATAATTTTGGTTTTAGAGCAGAAGGGTGTTACTAGTAAAAGAATGATCTTTTGTACCAGTCAGTTCGAAAACCGTCCTCCCCCCCCCCCACCCCCAAACAGGCATTTGACTGGAGTTTTGCTCCACACAGTGGGGAATTTGACCCAAAATGAGGCCCGCCCAGTCCAGCATTTGACTTTTGTGTCAAAATGGTGGTCTGCAGTGTTGCCAGCAAAAGGATTTTGTAATTCATTCCGCATTCTGCTGTGCACCACATTCATGGGTCATTGCTCCTATATTCACTGTTATGTTGGAACATTTGAGAAAGCCTGTTAAATGTGGGGGGAGGGGCTAGGCTACATGGGCAGTTTGACTGGTACAATATGGACACCTTATTAATGATGAGAGTATGGAGTAATATTATACTCATGCAATGGGTATTAAGATGCTTATACTACTACATGAGAAATTTCTGCAGTTTGATTGGCTTAGAGCAGTGGTATTTCAGCTTAATTTGAAATACCTACATATGAAAATTGCAAAACCTTTGTGGGTAGTAGTATTAACAAATAATAGCATGATTTGTACGTGATATTAGGTATACATACCTCTTGTGATATTTCCAAATTGTCTCAAATTTCACTCGCCTAACGGCTCGTGAAATTATGTATAACAATCTCGAAATATCACTCGTGGTATTTATGCCAAATATCACTACAAATCATGCTACTACCTTTACAAAAATTTGTTCAAAAGTATTTCAGTTGTCAAAAATGTCTGAATTGGTTTAAAAATCTTTTATTGTTCCTGAACAATTCACACCATGGTGTTAGCAACGCAAACACAAATTCATTTCCTTTGATGCTTGACCCCTTTGTACAAAATTAATTAAATAATTATTGCATAGAAATGTTAATGACACAGCTGTATAGAGTAAATCATTGTAAGGACAAAACCTCTTCCAGAAAAAAATCAATTACAAACTTTCATTAAATCTAAGGCCAAAATTAATATTTGAAACAGGATGTGCAAATGGTAAATATTTCATCTAAGCCTGTTTATTATTTTTACCTCATCTATGTGACTTTTTCAGTTTTTGCATTGTTAACAGCTGATGATCAATAAACCAAACAAAATGTGTATCACCTTCCCATTCTACGGATTATAAAACTTTTTCAGATTCTTTGAAAAACATTTATTCACCTCCTGTGATAAAATTCTTTTCCACAGGGGGGTTTTAGAATTTATGAAATGGCCGAAGACATGCTCACTCCAGATTACAAAGCATTCACCGATCAAACATAATCGTGTTTTTAACACAAGAACTCAGCAATAATCATGGAAAGATACCAGCAGAAAGCAATGCATTATGATTTAACCGATCGAAGAGAATATAATGCTATTGTTTTCTTGGTCTCAAGTTAATCAACGGCCACAATCATAGTGTCAGAGTGATTAGATAAAAAAGCGCATTAAAGCTAATCTAATGGTAAACAGTAAGCTCACAGTGCCCAAAAATTAGACAATAAACGAATCGCTGAGCTCCGATCGCAGACATGTGGAGTCCAGGAGCTCACTCCTTTTATAGGGAGAAACAGCAATTTAAAAGACACTTACATCCTGAGCAATCGTTGGAGAATTTGGAGAACTATTTCCACTATCCGGAGGCGAACCCGTTGATACAGGAATAGGAGAAATGGACGCACTTCCTGGGCGACCGAGAGATCCGCGGTCCGTGTACGTTGAACTCCAATCACTTGTCGCCATTTCGCATGATTTAGACAATTTTAAGACCAGTAGTGAGTTTATGGCCAATAGTTCATGTAACATCCATTAGAATGATATTTCTTTGTCTTTTGTTTCTACAACAAAAAGCTGAAAATCTTGAAATGTAGAAGCTTCAACGGATCTTGAGAAAGCGCGATTTGGGTTGTTGTTAATGACCGCTGACCATAGTTTCCCGCTCAATTTTTCACTTGTTCCCAGACTACTGCGAATACATCTGTCTCTCCTCGCTGTTTATAGAAATTTCACTTATATGTGACGTTATTATTATTTATTGTTATCCGTGTATTTTTATTATCTTTATCATACCTTTGTATAAAGCATTTCGAAGGTAGGCCTCCCCTGATTATATCAAAAAGAATTTTGAAGATAGATAAGTTGCGATAATTTAATGATCTCTAGCTGAAAATCAGTGGAGTGCTATTGTAGACAGAAAGCAATAGGATATTTAGTGCACATTTGAATGTTAGCAGTCCTTCCCCACGAGAGTGACGGTGAGATTAGTGCCCGTGCAGCTAGCGAGAGAGCAGATAAATATTGACGGCTAGACGCATTTCAGCTATTTCCACCCAATTCAATGCCAAATTTTCTCGGGGATCATGCCTTGCCTTTTCACCAGCCAACTATGCTATACCTTTCACGTTTCCGGCATAGCCTGTGCCACATACGATCAAGTCTAACCGAGGTTAAGTTTCGTCTGCGACACAGGCTAAATAACCTCGTCCCCAGGGCTTTTCCCTAATTGCCGGCCATTCAAGGTCATTTATGTCCCTTCGGGCTCTAACCTGCCACTAGGCAATCCTTCTTCCCTTTTTGTTTATTGATCACTCTTGATCTATTTTGAGTCTTTTGATGCATTACAAGGTGTAGACTATGCAGACCTCAATAGGGGTGTCAACAAGAACAACGACAACAACAAAAACTAGTTTATTCAGTATTAAACATAACATAAAACTTTATTATACTCGAATTTTAGATTAGGTAACAAGCTAATATCTAATTCATGGTGTTACCGATTGAAATACAATAAACAAAGAGAGTTAAGGAAATACAGCAAGTAAGGTTATACTACTACATGAGAAATTTGACTGGCATAGAGCAGTGGTATTTCAGCTTAATCTGAAATAAATACATGTGAAAATTACAAACCTTTAGTGGATAGTAGCATAAACAAATAATAGCATGATTTGTACGTGCTATTTGGCATATTGTCATACAATTTCGAAATATCTCTCGTGGATTTTATGCCAAATATTACTACAAATCATGCTATTACTTATACTAATTGAATGTGTCACGTTCCTTTATCGGAGGAAAGCGTGACGAGAAAAATTACAACTTATACGAGATTTAATTCTTTAATGAGTCGAAACGAACTCATTCGGTTTCGGTCCGCATTAACCTGAACGGACTTTAATAAAAATTTAATCTCCAGTAAGGAAAGGACAAAATTTGATATAAACTTGTATTCGAAGGAGGGGCAGGGGCGTCCACCGGGGATTTTGTGGGGGCAGGACAGGGGTTAACCGTTGAATAGAAGGCTCATGTTACAATCAAAACAAATTAAAACAAAAAAATCACACCAACAAAACAGAGAAAATTGCGGATACCCAAAAAAGAATTTAAACTGTGGCCTTCAAAATATAATTACTATCAAACGTTTGCTCAAAGAATTAAGAATTCGTATCTATAAGCAGGAACGTGCTTGATGCTTTTCATGAAGTCGTGACCCTTGTAAACAAATTTTCCGTTGAAGCACGTACAAGTAGAAAAAAATTCCCTGAGGATGCTTTTATATATGGTGATAACTACGTTGATGGCAGTTTTAACCCTGAGTCATGGCAAAACATTTCTTTTCGTCGATCTAAACATGTGTAGCACAAAAATCTTGAAGAAAAGCAGATAATAACTAAGGACACTTAAAAAGTGTTCAAAATGTCAATTAAGGAACCGAATGACATCGTCATTGATTAAATGCCCTTAAATGTCCTTGTCAGGTAATAAACGTTTTTCGGTCAAAAAAGGAACTTTTTTCATCACGGAACTTATTATTCAACCGTCAGTGATTTTCGTCATTCTCTGAGTCGGCTATGTATAGAAATAAATTTTGTCCATGTCAATGCCCATAAACATGCCATATTTGGCCGAAATCTTGGGCTCTAAAAAAATTCTACTAACGCTTATGAGCCGACTCGAAAAGCACGTGACCTCCTTGGACTGTCTCTTCTTTTACGTAGTACAAGTTTGTAAATATGTTTTAACCAGTTGTTCATGAATATCGATGTACTGTAAACAGAGTAATGAAGTTGAAGTGATAATGAATTCATATTCGCGAATTTAAGAGCGCGACTGGCCGGCGCTCGGAATATTGGCCTTTGCAATAGTGGACGTCTGTCTAGTGTTAATATCAGAACTTGAAAATGGCCGCGCATATTAAATGTCAGACGAGTGAAAAGTCTAAAGCTAAGTGTGTCTAATCGACGCACTTAACGTGACTAAACGCCTCTGCGCCTTTGAGCAGTTGCCTCGCGATGACTCGAAATTGACGTCGCTCTTGACGTTGCACTTCACAGCCAGGCGTTTAAATCATCGCTGACGTATCACGTCCTCTGGTGCAAAGACATCCAAAATTGATTCAATATATTTCACACAATATAGCTGTAGAAATATTTTTCTTTTTTTTTTATTTCTATCAACTTTGAACAAGGCACATGTTAAGTAAGTGTAAGTACTTGAAACATTGCTTGTGAATATGCAAATACTTGAGAAACAGACTGGCTGTACATCTGTGAGAATGTAAATACAGTGGAACCTTGATATAACGAGCCTCTATATAGCGAAGTCCTCGGTGTAACCGACGATTTTCTTTACCCAAGTTATGGAAAAATATATGAAAAAGAAATATGACGAAACCTCGGTAATGCGAACGAATTTTGCTAGTCCCCTTCGTTATATCGAGGTTCCACTGAAGGGCACTTGCCGACTTGGCTAAAAAAGTTTTTCCTTGTTTTGTCTATACGAGCAAAAATTAAATGGTACAGTCTTACAGCAGAAGTAAACAATTACATAATTGTATTGTTTTTTACTCCACGTTGCTAGGGGACAACGCCCACTTGAAGGTCAGGCGACCAGATTCACGGTTCGCAATGCATGCTCCTTGATCTTGCGTGTTCAACAACTTTCTTCAGCTAACAGACTTGAGTTTACCAGAGCGTTCTGTAAGGCTGGGGAAAGATCATCGTCTTATTCATTGTTTTCGTTGGTTCCAAGCGCCCAGCTGTGGAATGTAGCTTGAAGAGACGTACCAAGAACAGAATGATTCATTCTTTATGGCTTTCCAGTCGAGCTGGAAAGAGATTTTAGGCATCGAAACGACAAGATAGTGAGACCTGGTGCATCGCGGCTGTCCTCGATATGCAGTCCAAACGAGAGAGGGATTTATGTCCCTTCGGGCTCTAACCTGCCACTAGGCAATCCTTCTTCCCTTTTTGTTTATTGATCACTCTTGATCTATTTTGAGTCTTTTGATGCATTACAAGGTGTAGACTATGCAGACCTCAATAGGGGTGTCAACAAGAACAACGACAACAACAAAAACTAGTTTATTCAGTATTAAACATAACATAAAACTTTATTATACTCGAATTTTAGATTAGGTAACAAGCTAATATCTAATTCATGGTGTTACCGATTGAAATACAATAAACAAAGAGAGTTAAGGAAATACAGCAAGTAAGGTTATACTACTACATGAGAAATTTGACTGGCATAGAGCAGTGGTATTTCAGCTTAATCTGAAATAAATACATGTGAAAATTACAAACCTTTAGTGGATAGTAGCATAAACAAATAATAGCATGATTTGTACGTGCTATTTGGCATATTGTCATACAATTTCGAAATATCTCTCGTGGATTTTATGCCAAATATTACTACAAATCATGCTATTACTTATACTAATTGAATGTGTCACGTTCCTTTATCGGAGGAAAGCGTGACGAGAAAAATTACAACTTATACGAGATTTAATTCTTTAATGAGTCGAAACGAACTCATTCGGTTTCGGTCCGCATTAACCTGAACGGACTTTAATAAAAATTTAATCTCCAGTAAGGAAAGGACAAAATTTGATATAAACTTGTATTCGAAGGAGGGGCAGGGGCGTCCACCGGGGATTTTGTGGGGGCAGGACAGGGGTTAACCGTTGAATAGAAGGCTCATGTTACAATCAAAACAAATTAAAACAAAAAAATCACACCAACAAAACAGAGAAAATTGCGGATACCCAAAAAAGAATTTAAACTGTGGCCTTCAAAATATAATTACTATCAAACGTTTGCTCAAAGAATTAAGAATTCGTATCTATAAGCAGGAACGTGCTTGATGCTTTTCATGAAGTCGTGACCCTTGTAAACAAATTTTCCGTTGAAGCACGTACAAGTAGAAAAAAATTCCCTGAGGATGCTTTTATATATGGTGATAACTACGTTGATGGCAGTTTTAACCCTGAGTCATGGCAAAACATTTCTTTTCGTCGATCTAAACATGTGTAGCACAAAAATCTTGAAGAAAAGCAGATAATAACTAAGGACACTTAAAAAGTGTTCAAAATGTCAATTAAGGAACCGAATGACATCGTCATTGATTAAATGCCCTTAAATGTCCTTGTCAGGTAATAAACGTTTTTCGGTCAAAAAAGGAACTTTTTTCATCACGGAACTTATTATTCAACCGTCAGTGATTTTCGTCATTCTCTGAGTCGGCTATGTATAGAAATAAATTTTGTCCATGTCAATGCCCATAAACATGCCATATTTGGCCGAAATCTTGGGCTCTAAAAAAATTCTACTAACGCTTATGAGCCGACTCGAAAAGCACGTGACCTCCTTGGACTGTCTCTTCTTTTACGTAGTACAAGTTTGTAAATATGTTTTAACCAGTTGTTCATGAATATCGATGTACTGTAAACAGAGTAATGAAGT